AAGACCCCAGACACCACTCACCAAAGTAGGATGCAGAACATTTTCTTAATAAGAAAAGCCAAATAATTTCATCACCAAATGGTTTAGATTCACATTTAGAAGTGAAGTCTGGGTTATATATATATTCTTGACTTCTAACACATTACTGTTTTTGTCCTTTTAGATAGAAGAGTGATGGATGCCATTTCTCGCTCACAGCTTTACTTGGACGATCTTGTTTCTGACTTCTATGACAAACCTCTCAGTATGACTGATATTTCACTCAAAGAAGGGACTCATATCCGAGTTAACTTACTCAACCACAACATTCCAAAAGGGCCCTGCATACTCTGTGGAATGGGGAACTATAAAAGGGAAACGGTTTATGGGTGCTTTCAGTGTTCTGTTGATGGACAGAAGTATGTGAGGCTTCATGCAGTTCCTTGCTTTGATATTTGGCACAAGAGAATGAAATAAAATGGAAAATGAATATACCTTGATGGGTGTTTTAGGTGCAATTGTGCCATAAACCTTTCCAAAATTATCTAGGTTTGCTTTGATGAATTGTGACAAAATAAAAGGCAATTGTAATAATATTGTTTACTATCAAAAAAGTTTTAAATATAAATTTCACAATATAGATGTTACTTCATAAAATTTGTCAGTCCCTTTAGAAACATTTTTTTGGGATTTAGATCTATCATTTTAGATAACAACTTCTTATATAATTAAGAGATTTTTTTTTTTTTTCTGAATATCAGTTTTCTTTTTTATTGTGATTAACTATATATATGTATCGAAACATTTGCCATTTCAACAATCTTCACATGTACAGTTCAGTGACAATAATTATGCTCGTCATGTTGTTCAACCATCAATTTTCTTTTTAATCAGTCTTTAATTCAACATTTAAGGATGACTTGAGTACACGGGTAGAGACTTTATGGTGCTTTAACTTTTGCCCTGTGGTCTGGTAAAATGAGAAAAAGGTGTTAATAATTTAATATAATCCTAAATGTTTAATTGCAGTGTCAAGTTAAAAGCACAGAGCTCAGCACGGGGTTTTGTGTACACAGTTAAAGGGATGACCGATACTAGTGATGGGCTGCCATTCTGTGATGTATGTATGTTCTCTAGCTGTCTCCATAAAACTCATTACTGTTATTTTAAAGTTAAAGCAGATAAGACATGTCCATTTCTTTCCTTCTTTGAACATGTTTAAAACACTTGTTACTGTATTTAGTTCTGAAAGATCCTTTTCATTTACTCTATAGGACATCTAAGTATTTCATATACCAAGTTAATCTAAATTATTAATTTACTATATGGCCTTATTAAAACAATTGCAAAAATACTGTTGAAATTCTAAAACTCAAAATGTATAGTTACAGGACACAGTACTGTGTATATGCATATGGAGGCTTAAAGCAAATGTGTAGATACAAAACACCTGTATGAATATGTATGTAGAATGGTTGAAAACTTATTTTTTAATTATTTAAATGTGAATGGAGTTTTAGAGTAGAACTTCTCCCTATTCATTTAACACCATCCATAACTTATAAAAACATACATTTAATAGCACTTTGTATGAAAAACAATGGGACGGAAAGGACAGAATTATAAAGTTTGTATTATAGGGTGATTTCCATATATATTTTACTGTGTTTTTATTTTGGTAAGAGTATACTAATCAATGGAAATATGAGTACATTGATCAAAAAGGCATTAGTGACTTATATAAAGAAGAGGGGCAATTTCCAAACCAAAATATAAAAATATTATGTTATTATCAACTTAAGTTTACTTCAACTAGGCAGATTTTCTAAGGGAAGTAAAAGGATGAAAGAGTTGATTAAATAAGTAAGATGTTACAAAATTTGGGTATAAAAACAAAGAACTATTGGGAGGAAAGGAAGGATAGTAATAGGTTTTTGTTTTATGAAGTGTAAAATTCTGTGCCACACATATATAACATCTGCTCATCTGGTGGTTTTTGTTACCCTACAGTATGAATAGAGTTTCTGACAGTATATCTAAAGAGGTCAAAAGATGAACAATGGCTTGGAAAGAGGAAATTTCAGAAAACAGAAAAAACTTTACTAGTTTTGAACTCAGTTGTTTTGAACAGAGCTATGTATTACCTGACTATACTTTCCTTCATATGCAGTAGGCAAAATCTTTCCTCTTCCAATAAATATATGCCCTTACTTTGGCACCAACTTGAACTTCTACAGCATCTATTATCACCTGTTCTCAACAAGTGAGACCATGTCACAATTTGACCAGGACACAAAATTGCCATGGCACTGTGTAACCTCATTTATAGCAAAATAAATTTTACACATTTACCAAAATGTGATGACAGCATACCAGTTTGTAATGATCATTCATTATTAGTGATGAGAATGTTGTGAAATAAAGTTAACATAGGAAGGAGATACCTAGATAAAGGGAACTGGAAACTAAGAAATTCCATAGCATCAGTTTAAAACTATCATGATAAAAATTTAGGGGTGGTAGATATCTTACAAAGTTAAAGGCCTGCAAGAAGGAAGAGGAGTAGTACATTTATAATATTTGAAGTAGTATAAGAACAAGAGCAGTATAGCTTTTGTGCCTCTTGTAAGATAAAGAGGCATGAAGTCTTTGGTCTGGTCAAATATCTTTTAAGCATTCCCTAGTGGAACAAATCTCCAAGGGCCAGAGGTTTGCATCAAAAAGTACAGAGACAGTGTTGAGGCTCTCTGGGGGACAGAGAGGTACCACTAATATCTTCCTGCATGCATGCCAAAAGAAGACCCTTTAGTCCTATGATTATTTTATCTTATCATCAGTAATGTTATGAAATGTATAAATATGTGAAATGATCATTCTTGAGTCCCTAATGAATATTTTTAAAATACGGGGCATTTTAACTTTTAAAATATTAAAATGGAATAGTTACATATTTATACTCACTGTTAAGGTTAGAGTTGAGATGAGCTTGCAGATTTTGACATGTATGTCCTCATACATCCTGAAGAGGGAAAATTGCCCACACAGAGGTCAATGGGTATTTTAAGGTGCTGCAATTTGTGTTTACATCACAGAATAAAGCAGTAGGAAACAATCATGACTACCTTCTGGAAAGTTAAATTTGCAAAACAACCTCACATTTATTATACTAAAATTACATGTATTCAGGGGGATTAAAATATATTCTGATGAGGGGAAAATAGAAAACACAACTTGGAGAAAAGTGACTTTGTTTTATATATAAAAGTACAGGAAGTAGCTAAGAAGATGTAGAAATAAAAATATATTACAGTTCATCATGTTCATATACATTGTATTCCTTGGAAGAAATGAAGCCATCACCATCATGGTCATTCTTCTTGAAAATATCTTCTAAAACTGCATTCTGATATGACTTGTCATGTGGCTTCTCATCTTTTTCAAATTCCTTTTTCAAGTAATGCTTTATCTATAGATCCAAAAATAACATTTCTTTAATGAAAAGGTATTACAATAAATTTTCAGTAACTTTCAGGAATGTTTACATAATGACTGCTTATAGTGATACAAAATTTTACAAAGCTATTTTAGTTTTTATTTTTTTAATCTTTGAAGCAATATTCTGAAGAGAAAAAAATCTTCAAATTAGTATCCCCTGAGGATATAGGTGGTTAGAGCTACATTTTCGAAGTGTAGTCAGTGGGACTACGTGACGCACCAGGCTTCAAGAGAACAAGTATTAGCCTTGAAACATTCATGATGGGTATTCCCAAGAAGGGAGTCCCTGGGTGGTGCAAGTGAGTAACACCCTTTGCTGCTAACCAAAAGGTTGGAGGTTCAAGCCCACCCAGAATGCCTAAGAAGAGCAATGGCTGACCACCATGGAGCACATGGGTTCACCATGAGTTGGAACCAACTTGATGGCAACTGTTTTTCTTTTCCCCGAAGGAGAAAGGTGATTGAACGGGTATGACACACAGATTTTATATTTGAAAAGCACATTTCTTCTCAGAGCT